AAATGCTAATCAGGATCAGAGGGCCACTGGGATAGGTTTCTTGACATTCCTTCAAGCCACCAAGGGTTTGTATATTTGTCAGGACTTTTCATTTCCTCTTTAGTTTTGTAATATAAACTTGTAAGTGTCTCTGTTCCTCAATTTTATAAAACATTATTTAAATCAAAATGTTTTAAGAAATCAAATAATTCTTTTAACCACTGTTACTTTATTTGTCTGTTGATGATCATACTTCACTGAAAAAGTGAGAAAAAAAAATTTAAACAAAATTGGCTAAGTTTGTGTCACTATATTTTTCCTATACATACAATTTGAAATATTTAAATCAGTTTGTCCATTGATGGTTTTATTCAATAAGAATTTTAACTCGTATTTAAAGTGTAAATTTGATGTTTTAACCATTATCTGATCAATTAATGTGTGATTAATGTTTCTACTGTTTATGCCCTGAAATATATAATTGTTTATATATAATATAGATTGCCTTTTGTTTTCTAAACAGTTTATTTATTCAAGATTGTGTGATATAAAGTAAAGGATATGAACATGAAAACTCTAATCAATAGTAAATATCATAGAACCCATGCTGGATGTACATAAAAATTCAAATACAATACAGTTATCTCTGTTCTAATGCTAAATACATAGATAATTTAATTTTAGTCATTTTTTCACTGTAAACTTTTCATTAAGAAAATAAGTTTTGTGAAAGGATCTTCATTGGCCCCTTTCTAGGTGACCTCATAGGTATGCTTCCTGCATCAAACATAAATGCTTGGCATTTTTCTGGCTTCTTGGTCGCCTCAGAATGAAATAAAATTTGATGAAATAAGGTTTTCTAGGTGGAAAATGTAAATTTTTTGTTCGATTTTTTTTGGGAAAATGTCAATACATTCTGCAATTCAAAATGTCAGCTTCCTTAGTTACAGTCAGGGAGATTAAGAATTTTACGCTTACTGTCATCCAATCAGTGCCGTTGATACAAAATAATTGTATTTATAGAATTTTTATTTAATTATTGTGTGTAGAGTCATACATAAATTAAACAGAATAATTAAGGGGACTAAGAAATTAAAAACATGCAGATATCCATCAATCACAAAAAGTTATATAGATAGAAGTACAATGTATAATTTTCTTTTTTAGGAAGAGCAACTGAAATAAATGGTATAAAACTTGAACTAAAAGATGTCATGATGTGGTTAACGGGATCAACAATAATACCAGCCATTGGATTCCACAAATTGATTGATGTCGATTTTGCAGACAGTACTTTTGTAAATACATGTGCCCTTGCTTTAACTTTAAAGACACAACCAGACCTATCATCAGAAGATGCAGTTTCCTACTATACTGAATTGATTATCAACAGTCAAACATTTACAAAAGAATAGTTTTTGTCTTTCTTGTTCATTATAAACTTATTGACAAAATTGTGAAAAGTTTAATGTTTTTGACCTGTCCATCAGTGTGAATGTCAATTGTATATTATGATTCAATCATTTTCTAGAATGTATGCCCATTTGAGCTTAGATTTTGCACAAAATATACTTGATCTGTAGAAAACTGTTTCCATAAAAAAAAATCAATGTCTGAAATCTCAATAATAAGCAAACTGACCAATAAATTTTTTCTGCATTTCTAGTTTGTGAAGTTCTATCGATTTTTTACAGTCTTATCAAGCTTGTTATTTAAAAATTGAGTAGCGAACATCTTTAACACCTTTTGTGTAACTTTGAAGCACAATCCCAGAGGTTTCTGAACAAATATATATAGAAATTAAAAACCAATTGTTTAGAGAACAATTGAAAGTCTTTTCACATCAATTTTCAAAGATATTGAAAAGAAGCTAGTTCCGGTTTACTCAAAGTTAAAATTAGCACCCAATTATAAGTTACTTCATACTGATGAGATAAATAAATAGTTTCTATATACTTTTGAGTGAAATAAGGGATATAAAATGCTTCTTCTGGTGAAGTAAATGCACTTTCGGTCTCATATTCATATGATAGCTTCTTTCATACTGATTCCAAAAATATAAAGTTTTTTATACTTTTGCTTGTTAACCAGGAGATAATTGGCCACTTCCGGTTGATGGAAAGTCTCTTATAGTCTTTTGTGATAAGTTAATTTATATAAATTACAAAATCCATGGATTTCGAGTACTTTTCCATGTAAAAAGTGCAAAAATGGCTACTTCTGGGTTTCTGAAGGTCACTTCCGGTTATCATTTTTCAAGGTCAGATGTCACCCAACCTTTTGTTAAAGGTCAAATTGCTATGAAATGAACCAAGTTGAAGTAATAATCACTAAAACTAATAATTAGACATTTCAGGGGCAGTAACTCCTATAAGATGCCATTAGATTGTTTCAGACCAAATGTAGCATATCTTTATTACAATTCAGCAAACATTTTGCACTTATACTTTATATCTTTAAAAGTGTTGGAGAAAATGCCAAAACAAGTAAAAGTCAAAATTGAGAACTTGGCCTTGACCTTTGACCCTATTTTCTTAGTAAGAACCTAGTGGCCTCAACTAAAAACATTCTAGGGTTATATGGTTAATTGTTTATGAGTTAAAAAAAACATACCAACAAATTTATTTGATCAAGGTAGATAACTCCTATATCATTTCATCGAAATTGATTAGATCCAAATTGACCTAGTGGCCTCAAATAAAAACATTCTAGGGTTATACGGTTAATTGTTTATGAGTTAAAAAAACATACCAACAAATTTATTTGATAAAGGTAGATAACTCCTATAAAATTTCATTGAATCGCTTCGATCCAATTAATTTGAGATGTCTAATTGATCTATACTAATTTAGAAGGAAAAAATTATACTGTGCTTTTGTAGATTTTCAAAAAGCATTTGACTCGGTTAGTAGAGTTTAACTATGGCAAAAATTGTTACGAAATGGTATTGATGGTAAAATGCTTATTGTTGTACAGAATCTGTATGAAAATGCAAAATCATGTGTAAGAGAAGGTAATAATTTCTCTGAATATTTTGCTTCAAATGTAGGAGTCAGACAAGGAGAAAACCTCTCTCCTTTTTTATTCTCAATTTTTCTTAATGATCTGACAGAGTTCTTATCACATGCCTATGATGGTCTTAATGATGTATGTAATATTTTTCACTTGCTGTTTGATAATGATGATATTGAAGTTTACTTTAAATTGTATTTGTTACTATATGCAGATGATACTGTTATTTTTGCAGAATCTGCCGCTGAATTGCAATCTGCACTAAATGCTATGTTTTTGTATTGTGAAACCTGGAAACTCAAAGTCAATGAAGCTAAGACCAATGTTGTTATATTTTCAAAAAATAGGCAGTGTGAGAATACTCAGTTTTTATATAATAATGAAAAATAGCTGTTATAGAAGATTTTCAATATCTGGGTACAGTTTTTTCAAGAAAAGATACATTTTCAAAAAATATAGCTCGACTAGTCCAACAGGCTAGGAATGCCATGTTTTATGTATTGTGTAAAGCGAGAAAAACTTTGTTTACCAATTGATATTTTGTTACAATTGTTTTGATGCAATGGTTGCACCTATATTGTTATATGGTGCTGAAGTGTGTTGTTACGAAAACAATGATATTATTGAATCTTTGCATACAGAATTTTGCAAGTATATTTTGAAGATTAAAAAATGTACTCCAACTTGTATTGTTTATGGAGAGCTTGGTAGAGTACCTATGTCTATTTGTATTAAAGCCAGAATGGTTGGTTTTTGGCAACGTATTTTAAATGGTAAAAAAGAGAAAATATCTCGCACGTTATATGATATGTTATATAGACTTTACGAAGGTGATGTATCACTCTAAATGGTTATCATGTATCAAAGAAATTTTACTTGAATGTGGTTATAATCATTGTTGGAATAACCAAACTGTAGAAAGAAATGTTATTCTGTCAAGACAAGTTAAACAGTTTCTTCATGAAAAATTTGTTGAAAATTGGAAAGCACAAATTTTTAACTCACCTAAGTGTATCAATTATAGAATTTATAAGACTGAATTTGGTTTTGAGAAATATCTCTCTGTTCTCCCAACTGATTTGATGTATAATATTATTAAATTTAGATGTGGAAGTCACAAGTTGCCAATTGAGGCTGGTAGATTTTTTTCTATTGATAGATCTGAAAGAATTTGTGATCTATGTGATAAGGAACAACTAGGTGATGAGTTTCATTAAATATTTAATTGTAACTTTTTTAGTGCTGAAAGACAGAAATTTATACCTCTTCCTATCTATAGCAACAGTAACATTATTAGCCTGTTTGACTTAATGAATAGTCACGATAAATATACACTTATAGGCAAAATTTTGCAAAATTGTTATGTCTGTATTCAAATAATCATATTTGTAATGTTCAACTTCCAGCTGCAATTACATCAACTTCATATGTATATGTTCATGCATTAATTATATTTGTTGTTAAATTTATTGTACTATAATGCCTCATGTGAGGCTTTTAGTGAAATAAAAAGTTTCAAGTTTCCAAATTAGCCAAATATTTCTGAGGATGTAACGAACAATTAAGAAAAAGAATTTTGTCGATATCTTTTTTTGTTACGAAGGAGATGCACACATGTAATAAACAGTGAATAGGGAGATAACTCTTTTAAAGAAACTTGTTTGGCTTAGAATGGGTGAAAATAAAAAGTGCATAAGCTTTATGATACTATATAAGAAATATCTTAGCGACATATTGCGAAACAAAAATTTACGCAAAACAAAGTTAAGCGGAAGAAAAAAAATTAATAATAATGATTAGCAGAAAAAATACAATAAGTCTTTCCACAGGGAACTGGAAAGACTTAATTATCAATAGTTAGACACTTTATAATTCAGGAGTTATGACTCTTGAAAGATGACATGACACACAAGCAGATAAAACCAAACAGTTAACTTTCATTTTAACAGCTCTTGTATAAAATATTGATTGACTCTTTTTGCCTGATTTTTTATATTGATTACTGGTATGAGTTTGAGGTCCAATATATTTTAAAACACTATAACAATATGCCACAGGTCATTTAAGATCTGTAATTCCCTTTGTTACAACTTGTTATTGCATATTTATCTACGATGTTGCCTCAGTAGTTTTTGAAAATATGTTGCCAAAATAAATTGCTGAAGGATATACAATTTATAAGATATAAATGTAAAAAAAACTCAAACCAGAAAGTGTGAGAATTTTATAGAGTTATTAGTGTCTAAGAACTATGCACACATAATGTATAACTGTATTTGAAATGTATGCCAATTAATAAAGACATTATGTAATTCTACATGCTGTTTACAATGTTTTATTAGCAAAGTCATAGCAAGATTTTGTTATCATATGAAGATACGAGGTTGCAATGTTGTGACCTCATTATACTAGCAAAGAAAGAAAAGTAAGAGACATTAAACTGAACAATCTGTAAATAATGATAATCTCTCAATTTAAGCTGAAAAAAAGTTTAATTTTCTTCTGTGGTAACAATGCTTAATGCTTTCCTAAATAGTTTAAGCCCATATTCCACATTACTAACGTTTTCTAGTGGGTTGATTGCTGCATCCAATCTTGAAAGAAGATGGTTTTCATGTGTCCGTTGAGGAATTGTCTGTATGTCTTCATCTTCACTATTAATGGCGACATCCCCATCATCCGAATCGCCAACTCCATAGTCTTCTGGAGGTAAAGAGTTCTGAAATTCGTCATGATTTCCAGCATTTTCGACAACTTCTTTTATTGGTTTATTTCCTGAATTGAACTTCGTCAGAACACCTGTTATGAATAGCTGACTTGGTGTTTTGTGACTCTCAGTTGATAGTGGGTGATTATTGTACTGATAGTTAAACATAACTAGGCTTTCATTTAATCGTGGAATAAAAACAAAGAGAAAGCAAAGCATGTGTACTTCTTCAGTTATATCTAGTATATTGTTGTGCTCCATGTATGTAAACAGGTCGTAGTACTCATTACTAACATTCTCCCATACGTCGACCCACAAACGTTCTATTCTCTGATTGTGGGAGCTTTTGCCCCTTATAGCACTGCCCCTTCCGTTGCCTCTTAGATCTTCCATGAATTTGCATACATCATTGTTTTCAATGCCCTTGTCTACCCGTACCCTTGATGGAATGCCGTATTTTGTGGTTGCCTTGATAAATTCATTAAAAACTGTTATTGATCTGTTGTTATTGCTTGCTTTTAAGAATGTTACCATTCTACTGTAACCATCAATACCACCATGGATAACAATTTCCCACCTGTGAACAAATATTTAAATTCTAAAACATTGAATAAAAATATTGACAGATGATTTCTTTTATCAGTTGTTTACGTCTCTATTTGAACCAGTTGGTTTATGAATGAGATTTGTGAAAGAGTGAGCTTTTGAAGACCTTCACCATAGTTTTAACCAAGGACACCATAGTTTAAACCAAGGACTGCTGCAAATTATAATGCACCCGATAACCCGATATTTTTTGCATTGAGACTCGTTAGCGTATGGTTAAAATAGAAATGTGATTATTTATGGAAATTGATATATCAGCAAAACGACAAAGTTTTCATGAGTACGTGTGTGTTTTAGTTTACTCTATCGCTAATATACAAAATTTTCCTTTTATCTTACAGACTAATAATTCCCTATCTAAGAACAGTAGAGTGATGTGGAAAATTGTCTGTAGAAACTAACAGCGCACATAATGTTTTAGATATAAACATAAACAACGAAATAGGAAAATAGAGATAAACAGACTACCATTTGTCATTACAGGTAGCAACTCCTTAAAACCTGTTACAAAGTAACTAGATGTAAGAAGATGTGGTATGAGTGCCAATGACAGAACTCTCGATCCAATTCAAAATTTATAAAAGTAAACCATTATAGGTCAAAGTACGGTCTTCAACATGGAGCATTGGCTCCCACAGAACAACTGTATATTTATTTTATTATGTAATAACCGTAAAAACGGACAAATCCGAGTTCTGTCTATATGCAAAAAATATGCTTTCAATGTCAACTCGTATTGAACATGAGCAGATGTGACTTCGACATTGATTACATTTTGATATCTTCAGATATTAATTAAGTAAAAATACCAAAATCATTCTCTGTTGAGAAGTTTTAACTTTAGTTATATCTACATTTGAATGTTTCAGTTTCAACAAAACCACAGACCATACACGAAGGTGTCATATAATTATTTCATTTCAACAGAGACATATAATACAATATATGTCTCTGATTTGAATAAGAAATATTCAAACTTTAAAGTTCCCGTTGGGATGGATAGCTTTTTGTAATAATTAGGAGTTATTTTTTACTCTTAAATCAAATATATAGCAATAGATACAAACGTAGTAACTACTAAGAAGGTTTTGCTATGAAATGAATAAATTAAGTGTTAACAAAATGCCAATCAATTAAGTTCGACAATGTGAACTTTAAGAGAAATAAAGAATATCATTGTATGGTAGGTCTAAAAAAAAGTCTACATGAGACCCATCGTACAATATTTATTTTTAAAATATATTTGAGCTTTATATCAAAACTGCATATATATACCTTATCAACTTGTGGTTTCCATCCAGATGCCACAGGGAATTTGGTCCAGCAACCTTGTAAGTACGACGTTTTATATTTTTTCTCTCTAACGATCGTAAGGAACATCCATCTGGATCTACACGTGCACATGCTGTCCTCACTCTCTCTCTGGAAACAAATATTTTCTTTTGTGCAAGTCGAACTCTGACTGAATTCGGTCCAATATGGCGATTTGTACCAATCACTTCAGTGATTGATTGATCTAACTCCATGTCGGTGATATGTGTTGTCTTTCTCAGGCTTAAACCAAATTCTCTAAAAATACAAGTATTAAAATTTTATCATGATTTAAATGAACCAAAGAAATCTTTTCCGAAAATGTCAGATGGAGCAATCGACACACAGACGTATTCTACTTACTCCTAACAGATACTGGGCAAATATGCACTTCCCCCGACGGAAGAATTATAAGTGTCGCAAATTACATTATATTGATTATCCTTTACAAAATTGCAGCAGTCTTTTTGTTTTCGACTACTTCAATGTAAATTTAAATTTGTTTTAATAGGAACACAAGATAATTAATACCTCAGTCTTCGACGGACAGTTGACTCTGATATACCAAGAACATTACTCATCATTGGTGCTGTAAACCCATATTTGACTAGGTATTCCAGTTGTTCTTTTGAAATGCTGAATTTAGAATGTCCATTACCGTCAACTGCAACCCGTTCACTGCGGTATTGATCTTTTTCTATGGTAAAAAAAACATAAAAATTATGAGGTACTACAACTGAGACTGTTACTTAAAAAGTCACAACATTTCACGAAATGTATCTATTTTGTAGTTAGAAGTCATGATATTGCACATTAAATTAATATGAATAGGTATCGTTAAACAGACGAGACCTATACTAATTTTATGTTTAAATATGCTGCTGAATATTTCATGTTTTTTTTTTAATGTTTGAACTGACGACTGTTACATATTCATGTGCAAAATCATCGGACAGTTTATAACCTAGAATACATACCCCTTTTTAATAGAAATTCTTCTAACGATCATTCTCATATAATGGCGGCACATACCAATAATGAAAAAGATACCATTTCACTGGGTTAGATACGGATTTAATAAATCTGATCTAGTTTTCTTTAAATGATTAAATATTCATGGCTAGAAAATACATGTAAAATCACCACTGAAGGTCATTAATTTCACAAAGTCTTGTGTAAGACTGAAAACACACTAGCATGAATGTTTCTTAATTTCCCTTGTATGCACTTCCAACAGTGCTAGATTTTATGAGCTTATATATTAAAATTCTTTTTTTGTTTTGTAGCGTATATTCATAAATTGAAAGTGGGTTCAACCCATATATCTATCCAACTCAACTGATATATACCAGATCTACAAGCTGCAAACCTAGCTGAAACTTCTTTTTCCATGTCATCCAGTAATGGAATGAATTCGGCACATTCTTCATTGGTTATCAGTCCACCACTGGCTCTTTCAATATCTCGACGCAACAACTGTAATCTGCAAAATATTTTTGTATAACAAGTTGAAATTCGAACTACACCGTCGTAGGTATTTTGTTGCATATTGACTTTAGTGATTTCATTATTATTTCAAGTCAAGAGAGTTCAAGAAATTTCATGAAGCCTCTTGTGTTCTAAATATAACCATTGAGCTTGTAGCTGACTAGAAATGGTGTATGTTATTAACATTTCTAATAAAAATACTTCATGTCTGCAGCTTCCCGACATTTTTGGCAAGAGTGGTAGACAAGGGGAGTCATTGATTCCAATCCTCTGAATTCCAACTTCCGTTCCCAAACATTCAATCTCCAGAATTCCGTTCCCCTGTTATTTCATTTTATTTGTCAAGTATAAATTAATCATATTTTTAGTCATCTTTCTCCCAGTTCCTGCCACTGATTCCCGCTGCTCTAGCCCTTGATTTTCATCCCTCATTCCCGGGTTCCAATAACCAGGTACCAATATCTCATACTACTGTAAATTTAGTGTAAATACTTTACTATATATAAATTGCATATAATTTTTTAACGAACATCTGATACCCAGCAACCTATCTGAACGTTATTCCTTTGAAACGCAATTGTTGTAACTTTCATGGGTGCAGTTCGTTTCGTAACCTGGTCGTTTCGCACAAAGACGATTCGGAACAAACTAGGTCGGTTCGTAACTGAGACGTTTCGTAACCTTATCACAATATATAATAATATGAACTGTAGGTTATGGGAAAAATGTCGAATAAATGTTTCTACAAAACATTTGTAATTGCTTGTACGGAAAAAGTTTTGAAGAAGTTTTCCACCTAATTAATTTTCTTTGTAGTGGGTACTGCTTGAATGTATGCTCTGACGAGAACACAGACTATCAAGAAATATATTTTGACTTAATATCATGTAGTTTTTATTAACCATAAACATATATCAAACATGTGTACCTTCCTCGAACATTTTCTGATGTATCATCGTCCATTGTATCCGAAGTGCTAATCCGGCTGCAATAATTCACCATTTCCTTGAATCGATCTAAAAATCGCTCCCGGTCTCCTCTTCGTGTAGCCATGTAGCAAGTCAGTAAGTATCTTCAACAACGGAGAATATTTTTTCCCGCCAAACTTAACAACAATCTGGAGTCCGTCCGAACGGTTGATAAGATTGTACTTTGTTACAAAGATGTTGATTGGTAGACATAAGTGGAAAAATTACGGTATGGAATTGAAAACCAACGCGTTGGTTTTTCATACCGTATGAATTACGAACCAACGCGTTGAAAAGGAAGACCAACGCGTTGATAGTGAAAACCAACGCGTTGAAAGTAAAAACCAACGCGTTGAAAGTAAAAACCAACGCGTTGAAAGTAAAAACCAACGCGTTGAAAGTAAAAACCAACGCGTTGATAATAAAAACCAACGCGTTGAAAGTAAAAACCAACGCGTTGATAATAAAAACCAACGCGTTGAAAGTAAAAACCAACGCGTTGAAAATTTCATACGGTATGTTCATACCGCCAATGACACGAACGGCCACTCATACATAAGTGTTTCTCGTTTCTCGTTTTTTATATAGATTAGACCGTTGGTTTTCCCGTTTGAATGGTTTTACACTAGTAATTTTTGGTGCCCTTTATAGCTTACTGTTCGGTGTGAGCCAAGGCTCCGTGTTGAAGACCATACTGTGACCTATGATGGTTTACTTTTATAAATTTTTGACTTGGATGGAGAGTTGTCTCATTGGCACTCATACCACATCTTCTTATATCTATATAGAGAACTCCTATGATTAGGTTGCATTGGAATCAAGTACTACACAACTCAATTGTCTCTTTTTATGTATATATCTATATGCATAATCTAATTAACCTAAAAACTTTTCTGTTTGTATAAATTAAAAGCTTTTATGTAAATGGGAAACCGTCACACGTGTGTGTGATCCTTGTTGTCTCTTTGACCAAAGATAGTCCTAAACTAAATTGCAGTACTCGTCGATAAATCATTCTTGTTTCTCACGAATTTGGGTCTTTTACTTACAAAACTTATTTTCTTGTAACCGTATTTTATTGTTGAAGATTGACTGTTGCCCGTTTTCTATTATTTTGTCGTTTGTTTATGTCTCATTGACGTATAAGACACAATCAGATCGCCTTTTCTTCATATTTAAAACATACGAGATGACATCAATACCAATTCATGACACAAAATAACTGAGTTTAACTAAGGGGAAGTTCATTGAAACCAAAAAAAATCAAACGCTATCAATCAACGGAAAAAGGGGAAAACAACTGCCACATGATGTCTTTGTGTAGGCATTTTCCGAAGGTGGATTGCTCGTCTTTGACCGCTGTTTTTAGTATAAATCTGGCTGTTCATTTGATGAATTGTTTCGCATTTTGTCTTGACGATACTAGGTTTGGTTTTGTTTATTGTTGAAGGCTCTATGTTGACCTTTATCTGTTGACATCCTCGTCCGTTGTTATATGATGGATAGTTGACTCATTTGAAATCACAACACAACCCTATATTGTTATATATAGGCCATTGTAAATCTTTGACACTAAGTTCTGCTATATATATTTCGCCTTCCATTTATTAATACAGACTTTGTTGACTATGTTTATTGTATTAATCCAGTGAAACTTTTAATTATATTAAAGGAGACACACGATTTTTCAATTTTTGTTTCAAAATGTTTTATTGATACATAACTTTCCCCAAAAATACTTCGACAGCAATATAAGTGTCAAATATTTGGTAAAATATGTATTTTAATGCAACGATTTATCAACCTGTTAAATATGCACATTTCCATCCCGGAAGTCACCCAGAAAGAGGCTTCTACGTCACTGGTTCCAAGCATTCATATTGGCATAAGGGTACGGCGCAAATTTATTTTCGATTATTATCCAACAAAACGCATGACAGTGATAAAAAATGATTATGTGTGATACTGATGGATTCAATATATAAATAAGAAGAATAGTGACATGATATTTTCTGTTTTTCGAATGACCCGCAGACTTAGAAGGCGTGAAGGTAGGACTTTTTACCAACCACAAACTACACTTTGTTCCGCCCACTTTACTAAGGAATCCAGAGTTGGGGTCTCGGGTGACATGCCATCAGTTCATCTAAGGTCACAGGTGTGCGGAACAGGTGATTGAATTTCGCAATTGTATATAGATCTTATTTGTTTTATTGCTTTTAAGAATATGCAGATATAAAAAAGTTTATTGCAGTAAGCATTTGTTTAAATTGACTTCTTGAGATAGAAAAAATAATATTCCTGTATGCATGTAAGTCTATAATTTCAAAAGAAAAGATACACAAAACTGGTGTATAAGCTTGGATGCACGGGAACAATCCTCACTCACCATTCCCCCCCCCCCCCCCCCCCCCCCACCACATACCCCTATTGTTGACATTTTAAAATTATGTCCGGTCTTTTCAACTATGAGAAAAAAATAAACTTCCAAATGCAGAAATAGTGTGATGTATGGTTTCCAACCAAAAAAATTATAGACATAAATTTTGATGATAATTCGTACCTATTAAAAGTCCCTCCGTAACAAAAAAAAAGCAAAATTAAAAAGGTACCCTTTGCGAACGCCTAATTTGACTTTTACAATCGTTTTTTTCTGCTTCTGGTGCACACCTATAACGTTTACGTAACAGAGAAAAACGCCTCACAATTTGACCATCAATAATTAGAAATTTATACTTTCAATCATGATTTAAAGTAATTTCATTAAAAACAAAATGCAGAAAGCGCTTTAACATGGTAACAAGCCGATCGGTATTGTCTGAAAAATCGTCTTTGTTGGACTCTTTGCATGAAGAATTAATGCCTGTTTTTGATTATTTTCCACACACAATGGCTCAAATTGATGAGGTCAGATGTCTTTAGTTTGTCAGTAATCGGGCAAAGTGCTGTCAATACCGTCCATAGCGTAATTGTGCAGAAAAGTGATCGACATTGCCCATTTTGAGACATTTTCTCATCTGGGAACCAGAGACGTAAGCATGATCACGTGATCGTTATCTAATTAAAAATCATTGATTTTGACAAGCGCTGGATTCTTTGACCTACAAAATGCCGATTGATCAGGTTTTGACCAGCAAAATTGAACGAAACATATTTTAAGACTAATATTTATTGAATTATTAAAAAAGAAACAAAAAAAAAAAAAAAAAAAAATCGTGTCATTTCTCCTTTAACGGTACACATTTACTGCCTCGGACGCACATTTCGACAATTAATGTTACTTCAATGATGATAGAAGCTGAATTTTTTAAACCTAAGCCTAATAAAAACGCTAATTAAATTATACTACACAAAAAGGTAAATACTCTCAAGCTGATGAGTTACGCACAGAACCTATAAATTATCTTCAAGGTTGGAGCCTGGTACTTCTGACAAAAGAAGTATTATAATTTTCACCGTTAGAACGCTCGATTCCATTGTAAATACATCTCAGGGGCAACTACAAACGGAATAACGAACTTTCGAATTCCACAGATTGTGTATCTGTTCAGGATTTTCTGATAAAATGCTCATCATTATATAAAAAAGAATTAAAAAAAATGTTAAGGCTAAAGATGAAGTCATCTCTACGGTAATCCTTATGATTTGTTTAATTGTATGAAAAGGTATTAATTTACATTATTACACTACCGGCCGTCAGCGACTATAATCAGATGTTTTACTTGCTTCAGTTGAAAGACAGGCGCAACATGTTGAGCAGGAATTGTTTATCTTTCCAGAGCACATAAGTTCTCCCAGGTTTTTTATGATATTCTTTTTGCTTATTCTTTAGTTTTTTATGTGATGTTTTGTTATTGTGCTTGTCCTTAATTCTTTTCTTTTTCCTGGCCATGGTATTGTCTGTTTTTTTTGGACTTTTGAGTTTTGAATGCGAATCATTACATGTTCATGTTATCAATTGTTTGAATGGCTTATAATCAAGGTGACCGACAATACATAAATTTATTTCAATATACTTAAAGCGCGTTATATAATTTTACACATAGTCCTCTAAATATACATGTAGCAATCGAAATGATTATTTGAAATAAAAAAAATGGTAAATTGGAACATGAATTTGGTTCGCTTACAACATGTACAATTCAGAAAGAACTAGAGGAGTGACTTTAAACATACAATTAAATTTTTAATGCACCCACATAACACACGGCTAAATTATATTTCATTCGAAAGCTCAACATCTGTACTTTCTTTTTTGCCCCGTCGTAACAAAATTCGTACGGTGCAATTTCCGTCATACACGTATCAGGATCAAAGGACATGGACGAGCAAGTGAACATTTTCCAAGATGTTAGCTTTATTGCATATTCTGTCTTCTTTATAATTAAATCATGTATGCAAACAATTTAAACTTTTATCAGAGAGACACCCAGTTAATTTTCAAGCGCAGTTTTAAACATTTAAAACGTGCTTTTGATAAACAGCACATTTTCCTGAAATTCGAGTAAAAGTGATAAAAATGAGTGAAAACCAAAATATTTTTGTTTGTGATTCAACTGCTTA